CCATAGCTCTGTTCATCTCTCCCTTTTTTTTATTTTGGAGACTTTTTCTCTCTGCCCCCGGGCAGCACAGTGGCATGGTTAGTGCTTCTGCCTCGCAGCACTGGGGGTTCCCTGGTTCGAATCCCAGCCCGGTAAATGGTCACAAGGAGTTTGCATGTTCTCCCTGTGCTTCTATGGGTTTCCTCCCACACTCCGAAGACATGCTTGGTTTATTGGCTCCTGTCTAAATTGCTCTGTGAGATAGAGACCTTGGATTGTAAGTTTCTTAAGGACAGGGACTCGTGCAGTAGGTGAAGAGCTGCGTACATTGTTGGCGCTATACAACGCAAAACACAACCTCAAGACATCGGCCCAAATGACCGGCAGTTTTTAGAGAAGTTTGTATTTGTGTAGAAGAGTAGTGGGCAATTGACAGTGCTTTGTTGTCTTCTCTGAGACCTTTTTGTAACACCCATATCTCTTTTGTATTTAATCCAGTAATGAAGTTGACAGAATGCTGGAGAGACATGAGCGTCTAAAGCCTGAGATGTTTGCAGAGCTACTACAGGCTGCAAATACTGCAGATGACTTTAGAAAATGCCCGGTAAGTCATTTCAAGGTGTTAATGTTCAACTATTGTGTATTTATTCATGAGTTATAAGCCATATCTTTAAATAATGCCTTTTCTGACATGTAAACAGTTTTAATGCCATTTTGTAATGTTGTCTTCCCTTTACATAGGAGTGCTCCGTGCTGTTGCTGTGCATTTACACATTTAAAAATAGCATTATTTTGAAGTGCAGATTACTAGCAATCATTGCATCAAACACCTCCATCTAAATGTTACATGTGCATAAAGCATATACTATGCTTCAGGTTTCTTTTATGTTGTCCACTGAAAAGGGAATGTAATTACATATAAGCATTGTCTACAAGACACTCGCTCAAAAAATATATTTGAAGCTAAAGATTCTACTGAAATATCCAACTTTTGAATAATAAATGTATTTATTTTTTATAGAGCAATTGTGGTCAAAAGATCAAAATCCGCCGAGTGCTAATGAACTGTCCAGAGATAGTAACTATTGGCCTGGTATGGGATTCCGAGAACTCTGATTTGACAGAGGACGTTGTACGAAATTTGGCCACACAGCTTTACTTGCCAGGGGTAATTCCTTTTTTTTTTTCTCTTCACGTTCTATATAGTGACCTGTGTTCTTGTAGCAACTGAATAATAAGTCTCTGTTTTCTATGTGCCTCATTCACACCACTATGCAGAAGCGTACTGGACTGTACCACAGGTCAGCACAGCTTGCTGCTGTCTGGGTACCTGAATGGAGTATAGCAAACAGGCTAATGTGAATGGGCCCGAAGTCTATACAGTTTTTTAAGGAGCAGCATTTTTCATGGCAGCCATTGGTGATTGCATGCAAGCACATGATAGCCAGTGAGGATGTGTGCAAAAGCACACCTTGTCCCACATAACCAGGTTTCGTTCATTGCAAGTCTTCTAGAGTTTGGCTCCTGCTGGAGGTGCTGGTGATTAAAAGTGGCAGTAGCAAATAAAAAGCAGCATGTTGACGCACTGGTTTAGACTGCAGGACAGCTTGAGGGTTTTTTTTTTCCACCTACTGTAGTATCTTCCTCGCACGATCAAAACACCTGACTAATGCAAAGTACTAAATAGATCATTGGTGCCTGAGTAAACTGATTTAAGAGGCTTTCAGCTGTGATTTAATCAACACAATCCTGCAGAACAAGTGCCATGCATGCGCTACTTTCTCAACCATCACACTCTTGGCCCCTCTCTGCAACTTTTGTACCTTTTTTGATGGCTGCAGAAAAATCATTTAATATTATGTCATTTGAATATATATAGCTGAAAATATGACCTTACATGAGACGTCACACAAGTAATTTCCCTGTTACAAATTCTTGGCAATTGCTGCTGAAGGAAATCTCACATAGTGAATAATGTCTTTCAGCTATAATATTTAAAGTCCATGCTGTAATGCTGTTTAACAAACATTTAAAGCCCATTCACAGCAACGGAAGAGGATAGGAGCTCTCTTCAATGAGGACATGCATCATTTAGAGTTTAAAAGAGGTTCACTTGCACAAAAAATAAGATTAATATGCTAGAGTTGTTCTTTAAAGTGCAGGTATAATGCTGGAGAAGGTTATATACTGAAGAGAAGTGGATGACAGTGTAGATGCTTCTCCCAATTTTGTATTTATAAAGGTTGAGAACTACTATAATATCTGTTAGGTTTTTATTTGTCTGTGTTCCCCTTGAGATAATGCACCTTCTCTGTTGCAAAAGGTGGAAATATACTTTAAGCTGTGGACTACTTTACCACCTAAGTCTTCAAATCTTTAAGGTGCAACTGGTCAGGCTATGGCCAATTTTTAAGGTCTGCGTTTTCATAAGAAACTGTAAATGAGTATTTAAATGAGCCCCACTGTGGAGCAATTTGTCCTCTTAAGTTTAAAGCTGAGCACCAACATTATTTCTCTTAGCTGCTCCTCCTCCCGGGAGCCATCCAGCCTTATACACTTTAAACACAAGGAGGTGCTCAAGGAGTGTGGAGCTGAGCTTCTGAGAGAACATCCTGAATTACTTCAGTGCTTCTGCTGTGAAATTTGAGGATGAATTGCGCTGCGGTGCCTGTGCTTATATAGGTCAGTAAGGGCATGCTTTAAGCCTGCATTCCTAAACTCTTATTGGACATAGCATGGCAGATAGCTGGAATATCAAGCCCTTGGTAACAAAACAAAATCAAATTCAGAGAGCAGTACTTGTCAAGTTATAATTGTTTTTTTTTTTTCAGTTATTTTTTAGAGTGACAGATGAAAAAGCAAAAGAAAGTAGGCTTTACCTTGTGGGCATGATCTGCTACACGAGCCGACACTATTGTGCCTTCGCCTATCACACAAAAAGTGCCAGATGGATTTTATTTGATGATGCTTCTGTAAAAGAGGTACGTTTTTGCCTTTTGCTGAAATGCAGGCGAATATAGTTAAATGTGTGTTCGAAAAATTGGTCTTAAAATATCAGTTGTGCCATTTTGTATTTGTACTACTATAGATGTCTGCATGCCATACATTTTTACTAGCTAGTTTTAGTGGAAGTTGCAGTAATATGTGCCTTGAAAGCTTCCAGTATTTATTTAGCTGTCAGTTTAAAGGATTTGTATAGGCATTACAAACGTATCCCTCAATATCATTCTCACGCTGGAGAGTTTGTCCCATATGCCCAGAGTAGTAGTCCCTAACGTCAGGCCTGGTTCACACCTGGGCGTTTTACAGTGCGTTCCTACGCTCTGTAAACCGCTCAACATGTGAAAACCAATGATTGCCTATGGGCATGGTTCCCACCTGGGCGTTCTACAGCGCGTAGGAACGCGCTGCAAAACGCCCTACGCCCAAAGAAGTACAGGAGCTTTTTTGGGGCGTATTTGCCGCGCGTATCCATTGGGATACAGCCAGGTAGCCCTCGGAAACGCGCGTTTGTCGCGCGGTTTTTACCGCGAATCGCTGTAAAAACACTCGGCACGAAATGCGCGACAAACGCGCATTTTCGATACGCCTAGGCGTGAACCCAGCCTTAAACACTTACTCTTTTTTTTGTTTCTCTGTTGGCCTGTGTATGTCTTCACGGCTTACATTTCTTGAAAATGTAAAGGATTTGGCACAGTATCCCCGATACTTAGCATGGCACTGCAACATTGCTGGTATAAGTGAATTTACCTCCGGAAGCATATTACTTTTACAGCTCTGTACACATCTAAAGCGCTGCATATGCTGTTTCTCAGAAACGTTTATAGTTTGGTCCTCTGTTCTTATATTTTTTCTTCACTACAGTGTTTCAAACTCTTACTAGCTTCTCTTGTTAGAGGCAGGGAAACCCCAAAGATGCAATTTTTACTATCGAAAATGTAGTGTTATAATGTGTTGGTTTTTTTTTTTTTATAGCCACTAATAGTGGATTTCTCCTTTTTAGCTAGTCAGCAGTGATCAAACCCTTTTCCTTCTCAACGCAAAGTTCTGTTTTGGGGATAACCTGATTTAAAAGGTGTTGCTTTAAAAAAAATTTTGTTAAACTGCACTGCGAACTCTGCTGTTTTAAGCTATCCTGTAGCCATTATAGAATTGCTTTATTTTATGCTAGTATTTAAACATGCCTACTGTAATTTATGCAGTGCTGAATCTCACAAACAGTCGTTTGCTCTTTGAAGGTGTGAAAACCATATTTTGACAGCATTCTGTTTGAATTGTTACTGGGAGCATAATATAAAGTATGTTTTGTTATGGATTAAGCACGTTTTTCAGTTTGAGCAAAAATACTTTTTTGTACCGTATCTGACCCACAGGCACCAAGATAATTGATTAGCTTAATAGCCCAACAGTTGGGACCGTTCTCTAGACAATTATAGGAATGGTGCCTGATTGTCAAACATGGCTATGACACCAACTTGTGTCCTCAACTTGCTAAACAGAAGATTATTACAGGTCATTGTAATAACAGAGCTTGACTGAGTGTGGTGCATTGTGGATCGGCTTCTGGGCATTTGGAGCATATATTAATATTTTCCATTTATAGCTGGTGTAAATGTTCCCCTTCCCATTTCAGGTTGGTACCAAATGGAAAGATGTAGTCACGAAGTGCATTCGGTGTCATTATCAGCCTTTGCTTCTATTTTATGCCAATCCTGACGGCACAGCAGTGCCAACAGATGATGCCCTGAGGCAAGTCCTTCATTGGTCTCACTACAAGAGGGTCTTCAACAATGACACTACAGGTACTTTCATTTCAAATTCTTAATTAAGAATGTATCCTGTAGGCTCTACAGTCCTTCACTGCTGGCTATTCGCCTGTTGGTTTAACTGGCAGGATCTGATGTGAGTATGGTGGCCAAGATTCTGTTCTGTTTAGCAGAGCTTGTTTAAAATGTAAACAAAAGCTCCATGAATTTTCCTGATTTTAATATTTTCTTTTGTAAATAACTTTATGTTGCTTTGCACCAGAAGCATAATTATAGCATGGTGAGGTAATCAGTCAGAATAAAATAAGAAATGATTTTAAAGTTTATTTTAAAATGGTCAGTGATCAAACTGACGAGCATACCATAAAAAAAAAATGTAGAAAATTTGAAGACATTATGATGGGAAAAAAAAACAACATTGGGGGGAATTTATCAAAGCAATTGCGACAGTTTCTTGGATCATGTTTTGACCAGAACTTTTTCAGACTCGAGATGCAATCAGTGGTACTTTCTCCTCTGAGCATTCACCTCCTTTGCCTACATTTTACAATTGTTCTGTTACATGTTTTGATTCATTGATATAGCCAGCTTCCACTTCACATGCAGAACTGTAGTTTCCTTAGGCAGCCCTACTTTAGAAATCTAGGTGGTGGTGTTACATTAACTGCATGCCAGTGCCAACTGTCCACTCAAGTCTGAAAACTTTTCTCTGTGCATTCAGTAAGAGGATTGCTGCCTTTTTGTATGTGTAAAAGGAAGCATTTCTTTAATGCTCATTGCATAACATGCACGCACCTAAAGGTGTCTGCACATACATGCAACAGTTTTCACAGCCCTTGTTGTTAATGTTGGCAGGCAAAGCTCTGGCACTGCCAAAGCTTGCTTGACCCTTTCTTCCTTCTGAAAACTCCATTTGTACAGTGAGGCTGCCCTTCAGAGTTATGGGCAAATAGTAATATGGGGTGGTGGTTGGGCGGGAGTAGTTGGACATAACAGCAATGCTTTGAATGTTGTTGCAGATATATTCAGGCAGGTGTTTTTTTGGGTTTTGGTTTTGGTGGATATTTATAGCTAACCTTTTTCTTCATTTACAGAATCAAAAAAGCCAGAATATAACAGGGATTCCGATGTTGGAGAGCATATATATCAGAACAGTAGTTATAGATCTGCAGCAGATGATTCAGAATTTAATCGAGGGGTTGTTCAATCAAGTACTGGCCGAGGACCTGGTAAGTGCTCTAGCAGAACTGTGTTGTCTGGGTCCAGCTGTATACCGGTTACCAACTTTTCTTCAAATTGACACAAAGGTCCTCCCTCTCCTGAGGGTGTGGTTAGCAGAGGTCCTGGTATTTGACAGTTAAATGACAGATAGTGGGGCTCGGTGCCTGGAAGCTTAGCCTGTGTACCCCAGTATCCTCTCCAAGTACAAAGAAACAGACTTGGAGACGAACACAAGTATTTGCAGGTTACATACAGTCTAACAATGTTCTACACTTTGTTGGACTTGACATTGTTACATAGTCAGGTTAAAAAAAGACACATGTCCATCGAGTTCAACCTATAGAGATATGAAGAAAAAAAAAAGACAAGCCTAAACAGAACGCTATGCCCACAATTACCCATTGTTGATCCAGAGGGAGGCAAAAAAAAAACCCCTATAAAGCATGGTTCAATTTGCTCCAACAGGGGAAAAAAATTCCTTCCTGATCCCATAAGGCAATCGGATATTCCCCGGATCAACAATCTCTGATGCTTTAATATACCTATAAGAACTGAATATCCAGTAATATTCTGTGCATTTAGGAATACATCCAGATTTATTTATTTTAAACCATTAACTGAGCTAGCTAGAACCAGCTCTTGGGGGAGTCTATTCCACATTTTCACAGCTCTAACTGTGAAGAATCCTTTCCGTATGCAAAGATTAAACCTCTTTTCCTCCAGATGCAAAGAGTGCCCCTTTGTCCTTTGCAGTGACCTTAACGTGAATCATTTGGCACCAAGCTCACTATATGGACCATTTATGTATTTATACATGGTGATCATGTCTCCCCTTAATCGCCTCTTCTCCAGAGAGAACAAATTCAGGTCAGTTAATCTTTTCTCATAGCTGAGCTCCTCCATGCCTCTTATGAGTTTAGTTGCCCTTCGCTGCACGTTCTCCAAGTCCACAACATCCTTTTTGTGAACTGGTGCCCAAAACTGAACTGCATATTCCAGATGAGGTCTTACTAATGCTTTGTACAGGGGCAGGATTAAGTCTCTCTCGCTCTCTCGCTCTCTCTCTCTCTGGAGTCTGGACCCCGAATAATACAAGAAAGTATTTTGCTTGCTTTAGAAACTGTGGCTTGACATTGCATGCTATTATTGAGTCTATGATCTACCAGAACACCCAGATCTTTCTCCATCATTGACTCCCCCAAACATACTCCCCCAAGAGTGTATGACGCATGCATGTTTTGATTTCCCAAGTGCAGAACTTTACATTGATCAACATTAAACTTCATTTGCCAAGTAGAAGCCCAATCACACAGAGCATTCAGATCTGCTTGTAGGTTGGAGACATCCTGTAAGGACTGTATTCCACTGCATAACTTGGTGTCATCTGCAAACACAGAAATAGTACTTTTAATCCCCAACTCTGTCATTTATAAATAGGTTAAACAGTAAGGGGCCCAGCACTGAACCTTGGGGAACACCAGTAAAAACGTCAGACCATTCAGAGTATGAATCATTGATCACCACTCTCTGAATATTGCTGATATTGCGGTCTTTAAGCCAGCTTTCTATCCAATTACAGATGGAATACTCTATACCTACTGATCTTAACTTATACATTAGCTGCATGTGGGGAACTGGGTCAAACGCTTTTGCAAAGTCCAAGTATATTATATCCACAGCCATTCCTCTGTCCAATTTGTTACTCACTTCCTCATAAAAAGAAAGTTGGTTTGTTTGACAACTTCTGTCTTTTCTGAATCCGTGCTGACTATCGCTTAATCTTTTATTAGCATATGTTTATTTGTAAATGTGATCACTGTATTTTATGCCATGCTGCAGACTTAATTTTTTTGTTGGATTTACCTTTCATTGATATAACTACACACCCAGTGATAATTGCTTTGACGCCTATGCCTTCCTGAATGAGAATATATATAGAAAGAGCTGAAGCATAGTTCTGCTTAAGCTGGCCATACACTGTAAGAAAAAGTGTGGGCTGAAAGAAAAAAAATAGAGCAGATTTCTCCATCAATGCTGACGAGTGTTGATCGGGAATCTCCCGCTGTCTTAATTATATTCTGATAGCGACCGCTGTCAGAATACCCAAACAGAGCCAGCAACCGATTGGCTGCCCACTCTGTTCGTTCAAAGATTTTCTAACCAGTTCCTTCGATCACCTGATGGAGCAATGCCGGAGGGAAGAGTGCCAACAGCGGCACCCACTGTACGAATCTTGATGAACCGGCAGAAATTCGCATAGTGTATGGCCAGCTCAACACACTCCATGTATTAAACAAAGCTAGACAAATCCCAGGAGCTAGGTAATAAGTAACGAATAAATAATAGTATACATAGTATAAAAAATAATTACAAGTAGCATTTAACTTTTTGAGGCCTTTTTTTAAAATTTTTTATTGGTGGTAGGAACTTCTCTTTGCTACCGCCTGGGGTCTGGTGTATAATTGATCTAAATTAAGAACTTGTAAAGTGTAACATTTTGGATTGCATAGTCATATCCTTTCTATCCTGGTTAAATTGTATCACAAGAACAAACAGAGAATCTCCCCATTGGGGACACAGACTAAGGTAAAAAAACAAAAATGGTGTTTTAACTCTATCCAAAACTATAAAATGTTTTGAATTTAGGTACACTTTAAATTTTGCATTTCGTTGACACCTTCTAGAGACCAAAGTACTGTAGTATCTCGGTTCACGAACTTAATTCATTCCACGATTCTGGTCGCGAACCGAATCAAATTTCCCCATTAGGTTAATCCGTTCTGACCCCTACGAACATGGTTGTGAACCGATTTTGGTCACGAACAGAATCAAATTTTCCCATAAGGTTCAATGTAAGTAAGGTTAATCAGTTCTGAACCATATGTAAAATGCTTGTTTTTTTTACCACAAAAATATGAAACGCAGTACAGAATGAAGAGAGTGAAGTTGAAGACTAACCTTTGCACTTTCTTTGGAGCCATGCTGGATTGAATAATACTGTACAGTACTGTATGTGCTAAAAAGCACAAAAAAAGTTTCACCGCAAATGTACACAGGTCTGTCTGCAACTATGATCTCAACTAGTGGAAGCAACGTGTCAGAGCAGGGAAGATAGCCGCGGTCGTGTTCGTCACCCGATGCAGCTTTCACGACCGAAAGCAAAATTTTGCCGAACTTCCTGTTCGCAAACTGAGTTGTTCACGAACAAAAGTGTTGGTGAAGCGAGGTATTACTGTACTGTGACTGTTTGTTTTAAAGAGACGTAACTCAGAACAATTAATATTTGCTGATCAGTTGAATCTGTACAGTAATTGCCACTTGTCTATATCAACCAATTAAACGGAATCGTTTACCTATACAGGAAATGAAACTCTGGTGGCTGTTAATTGCTGCTGTTTACATAGTTACTCCCTTTTGAATTGACTTGCTAACAACATAATCCTGTACAGATTTGTTAACTAGTTTTGTGTAGGGGACAGTTGTTTTGTGTAGGGGACAGTTGTTTTCAGGTTTAGTGGAAAAGGTTACAGGTTACGTGGCGCAGTGTTAAATCAGCAAAAAATGATCAGTTTCCAGCAGGGGCGTCAGGAGGCTGGGTGACACCCGGAGCGCTAACCGAGTGTCACCCCGCCGAGACGTCACTGCGCATGCGCGATGACGTCATCGCGCACGCGCGGCAGTATTCTGATACCTGCAGGTGGCCATCTTGGTGATGGACGCCGGCAGAGAGAGAGAGGAGGGGGCAGTCACCCGGCGGGATAAGGAATGCCGGCGGGGTCCCCTCCTCTCTCCTGATACTGTGCGCCCAACTTTTCAGAGGGTGTCACCCGGGTGCGGGCCGCACCCCCCTTGTGACGCCAGTGGTTTCCAGTAAGGTGCATATTAAACAGAAAGGAAGAGGTCTGGTAAAATTTCAGTTTCACTCATGCAAGAATACAATTTGGTAACTAGATGGTTGAAAGTTAATCATGACATCTGCAAACTGATCTATTGTTGGTAAGTTTCACTTCTGTTGTCAATGTACTGTACAGAGAAGAGTGATTCATTGACATACAGTAAATGTAAACATAGGAATGATGGAATGGAAATTTGATTTTAACCATAAATTTAATATTTTTTTCCTTTTTTCTGAAGTTAAATTGGGAAGAAACGATCAGCAGGAAAAGTTAAAAGATTTGTCTCGGGAATGCGCACAAAGGGCAAATAACCTAAAAAGCACTTCTGCACAACGAAAAATTGTTGATAAATCCCAGAAGAAAGAGCAGGCTAGACCAAAAGGTATTAAACCATTTTGTTAATTGATCTTGCTCCCTGTGTGCATGGAGCTGTTATGTAGCATAAGTTATTAATGTAACTGTGCTTGTTTGTGGATTGTATTTGAATGATTTGTATGTGACCTGAGGGGGTTATTGAGCAACTATAAAGCTTTAGAGTACTCTGTTTTGGTATGACTTTAACTTGCATGTTAAGCTTCCTGCAGTTTTCAGCTGGTTGATTTACATTTTGTATATTTGTCTTTTAAGTTACAACGTCCGGAGGTGTTCCATACCATTCACAGTCATTTTCTGGAACGCAGCTCAAATCTGGATCTTCAAACCCAGTAAACGGCTTCAGACAGTATCCAGATCCTCACTTCTTCAGCAGTCAAGGCAAAGGTCCATATAAGCAACAGAGGCCTGACCAACAGCCCCGGCAAATATCCTCTACTACAGGACAGACTGCCATACCTGAAACAAAGCAGCTAAGTCGATTGAAGAATAGTGCCTCAAATGGCTATGATACAGACAGCAGTCAAGAGTACAGGGAAAAAGGAGCTGGCAGAACCAAAAAGGCCTGGCGGCCCATGCGAGAGACTCTCAACGTGGACAGCATTTTTAATGATAGTGAGAAAAGCCCGTCCAGTCCACGACATTTAGCAAACGCTAATGGAAAACATCATACTGCTAAGGATCAAAGCCTTAACCACTGCTCGAAGGAGAGCCCTAAGAAAAAGGTTCTGATGACTATTTATGAAGATGAGATCAAACAAGAATCTGGCAGCAGAAGTTCTCTGGAATCTGTAGGAAAAAGTCAGGCTGAAAGGAACAAACTAAATCCAGATTCCAAGATGTACCATCTTGACAGCTGGCAAATGCAAAGAGCAGAGTCTGGATATGAAAGTAGTGATCACATCAGCAGTGGCTCAAGTAATCTAGATTCTCCTGTAATTGAAGGAACCAGCTTCGCCGATATGAAATGTGTTCCGGAAATAAGCCAGTGCAGGTAAGCTTAGGATGTACTGTCCCAAAATATTAAAGTTGTACTTTATATGATGAGACCTCAAATGGAATCCATTTGTGTCCCTTAAAAAAAAATTAAGAGCCTGTGTAAGAGTTTTATAAATCCCCTTTTTTTTTTTTGCCAAGCACACAATTTTTTTATTCACTTTTTGAGCCAGTGGATGTATCTTTAGACATTTTTTCACTTGCATATCTCTCTTTGCAAGTTTCAATTTACACACAGAAGTAGGTTAGGGCGCAATCACATTTCTTGCTACTTTATTGAAGTGTTATTGTGCATTGCGCTGCGTAAAAATTGCCTGTAAATGTGGTGCAAAGTTCTCTATGAACCTGGATTAAGCCCTGGTATATTCTAAACACCACCCTGTCTTGTAACTATCATATGCCAGTGTCTGTCTGATCTTCTAGTTTCAGGAGTGGGGTTTAATCCAGACTTGGGGACAGGTATAGCTTGGGCCTAGTGTCCATGGGGGGGCTTCACAGGACCACATTGAACCCATTTGGAATTTTAAACTGACCCAAGAACTTGCATAAACCATAAGGTAACTTCATAAGGTAACTTCATATCAGCAGTGTTCTCTCATGTAATTTGTAGACCAGAGCAAGTATACTTTATGCTTTACAGGGTAGTGCCTATGCATTTGTAAAATAACTCGATTTTTGCACAAAACAATGTGTGTAATTGCTGATTTTAAGAATTCGTCAGCCAAAATAAAGCACAGCCTGCCACTGTGACCTGGAGTCTCTGAAATCAGTTTCATCATCCTGTTGACCATGCAGAGTTGATCTCAAGCTGTGAAATTGTATACTCCAAACTTTCAGCTCAAATTGTTTTATTTCAGACAAACACTTCTTTATCTTTAGAAACAATTATAAATGGTCTCTAAAGGTTTTAACAGGATTTTTGTTCAACAAATATGAATATTTTTTTCCTGTGTAGGAGACTGTATTGTACTGATAGTAAACACAATGCATCATTGTTTTTGTTTCCTGAATTCCATTCAGGTCTGTGGTATGAATCGGATCTCTTAATTTGTTGTCATAATATGACTATTATAGTGGTTTGCATAGATAGATTTTATTATTATTATACAGGATTTATATAGCGCCCTGCCCGATAGATACTCCTTACACACTTGCTCCAACCCAAAAGTGGACAGCATTGTATATTACAGGTCCAGTTTAGGATCCTATGCATATCTTTAAGCATCCAGGACAAATGTTCTGCCACTGACTTGTTACCTGTGATTGTCTGCTGTATCCACAGCCAGCCAAGTGGATTTTACCCAGCTTTTCTATATGCTGTAAAACAAGGCTATCCAATCCTAAAAATAGATTCCCAGACAGGACAGAATTCAATAGTGTATTTGCAATGTGAAATAGCTTTTACATGATATTTTACTTGCAGTACACCAAATGGGTGCAAAATAAAGATGGGGTTTTGAAGTTACCGAATGACAATTCCAAGGCAATTAAAGGTAGAAAAATATATGTTTTATTAAATACAGGTTAAAAAAGTTGTTAAGTTACTAAAATTCATTCATGAAAACCTCCAATCAGATATCTCCTGAGACTCACTCCACTACTGAAGAACCAAATCACAGATACATGATTGAAAAAACAATAAACATGATGAAATAATTGTGTAGTGGAGTGAGTCTCAGGAGATATCTGATTTTGGAGGTTTTCATGAATGAATTTTAGTAACTAATAACTTTTTTAACCACTATTTAATAAAACATATATTTTTCTACCTTTTTTAATTGCCTTGGAATTGTCATTCGGTACCTTCTAAACCCCATCTTTTCTCTTTGTGATCCAATACTATTTTTTCAGGGGTGTGGTGCCCAATACTCAGGTCCTGGCCACAAACGTATTGCATGATGGGTGCAAAATAAAGCCTCACAGAGTCCGAGGCTTGTAACAAGTTTAAGAAGTTTGGCAGCGTGCTGCTGCTTTGTGTTCTGTACACAGTATGCATTGCATAGAATTCACTTTCATCCATTAATAAGCACTGTCTCATTCACAAAATGCCTCAACCCATTTATGATTAGGAGTGCTTTAGAGCTGCAACAGTTAATCGATTTAGTCGATTAAAATCGACGATTGAAAACGTTACCAAATGATTAATCGATTATGAAAATAATCGTTAGCTGCAGCTCTAGAGTGCTTTAGGGCTTCACAATCGGAACAATTTATTTCTCAGATTGCAAAAAAAGGTGCATCATCCCAATATATTGTTTAGTACTATAAAATCATAGAAATTGTTTTTCAGGGTCCCACCAACTGTAGGAAAGAAAAATAATAGCATGCTACTATGTATTTCATTGTGCTAGGACAGTCACGTGAAGCAAATTCTACTACTACTAGAGGATGATGATAATAAACAACGTACATTTATACATTTAAAAATACTGAAGAATACTATTTTTTTTTTTTTTTTAGTGACCAACATTCAGTACATGGGTTCCTTTCTACCTCTCCACACCGTCGAAGTCCTTTGAACGGTAGGGCATTTAAAACATTTTTACCACTACTTGGGTAGTTGGGTTAATACTGAATACAAAGTGTGTGTGTGATGACCAATAAACACCTTAACACATCAGAGATATAAGACATACATTATGATGTACTATAATGATTATAGTGTGGTGTGTATATGTATATATATTTCTATAGAGTAATAGAAATTATACACAAAAAGATGATAAAATTGCTCTGTTCCCCATATGCAGATAACACTGCAATAATTGTACAGGCCTGAACATGAACATCTGCCATATTTAGTTTTATAAAGAGACTTGGGCCAAGCTTCAGCCGAATCACTAGCTAGTTTTAGCCATGCATGGCTCTCTGTGTCAGCAGAAGAGAAAAATAACGCTTCTATTTTTAAATGGGCTGGAATCCTGAAGACAAACCCTTCTGGTGTTGGTGAACGTTACTAAGTTACTTAAGATGGATCATTGCTGCCATCTGCTGTCATGTGTTTGTAGCTGCAGCTGTATCTGGCCTACAACAGAGGATAGTCAAACAGATTTTTTTTAAATTTGTATGAAACTTATATTTGTCATTTTATGAACTTAAAAAAACAAAACAACTGCATGTTCTGAGACTCCCATTTATAACGATATATGAACACCTCGTAAATTAGTGAACTGCTAGCTTTTTAATTTGCAAATTGCATAGAAAAGGCAGATGCAAGTAACCTTTTATAAACGGAGGTAGATGTGAAGTATGTGAAGTATATCGAAGTTTACATTAAGTAATCTGTATGCTTTTCTATTTAAGGTTTCAGCAAAGAGTGCAACGGTTTGGAACGGAGTAGATATGAAGACAGGCTATCTCCAGGTCCTCGAGAGCCATCACTTAGCCCCTCTGGTCGAAGGTATTTTACAAGGATAAACAGTTGTCAGAACTAGACTTGAATGTAGATCTAGAATTTAAATGGCCATTATTTGTATTTTATTCATTTTTAAAATAACCAGTGGATCCTGACAATAATACCCTCTTTAGCGCCAGGTGCAGGGTGCCACGCTCCTGTCATCTTTCTGACCTCCGGTGAGGTTGCAGGATTGTGAAGCTGAAAATGAATTGTCATGGGAGAGATGATAGTTTAATAGAATTTTTATGAAGGGGCTCAAAATTCTGACCTTTACACCTTGTTTAACCACTTCAAGACCAGGTGTTTAGACCCCCTTCCTGGCCAGGCCATTACCAGACCCCCAAAAAATGATATATTTTCTGACAGCAGAGGCCCTGTAGAATAAAAAGATGCTAGTTGCAATTTTTTATGTTGAGCTTTAACCGCTCATCAGTTTAGTAGTAACAGTGGTTGACAGCACTAGAATTATTGCTCTCACTCCGACCTTCGTGGTGATAATTTGTAGTGCAATTGTTGTTTTTGCACATAGGCACACCGACACGTGTTTGTGTGTGTATGTGCATGCATTGGGGGGGCGGGGGACTTTAAAACTTTTTTTTTTTTTAATTCTTCTTATATGTGACCATGTGACTTTTTTAATTTTTTTATACCCCTTTTTTTTTTTCACACCTACCTTATTGCTATCACATATGGGGGCTAACAAGCAGATAGGGTGTGACAGGTCCTCTTTATGGAGACATCAGAGGTCTCTCAGACCCATAATCTCACTTAGGGACCCTAAAGAAGCAGAGATCTGCTTCCCCAGCTTCTTCTCCTGACTCATAAGAGACTGTAACTAGTGACACCGGAAGTGATGTAATAAACATCACTTCCAGGTCCAATGATCGGAGGAGAGATCAGGGGCTGGAAGCTGCGCCGGTCCCGGGAACAACAGTGCGGCGGGGGGGGGATGGGAGAAGGGTACAGCGGCGCTCGGCACAAACGATTCAGTGGCTGTATAGACGCTGGATCGCTTGTACATTTAACAACCATCGCTGGCTGTTAAAAATGATACCAAGAACACGGCTGCTGCAGCAGCTGTGTTCTTGTTTTAACCACTTCTGCGGGACACCATATGTAGATGTATTGTGGCTCTGAAGTGGTTAAAAAAAAAAAAGGATTTACTTCTAGTTCACAAGCACTTTAAAAGGGGCACTTTGTAGGTATGAAAGGTTACACTGAGCTCTGTAAAATACTTTCACCAGTTGGTGAGCATAGTTTTGCAAAGCTATGCTCACCTAAATGCGTGTATCGTTGCAATAGTTTACAGGCACCACATGTTTTCTATTATCTTTTCACTTGTCTACAAATATGAGAGTTGGCTTGACTTTTTTTCTTCTTTTTTTGTTAAAGAAAACACGTCAGTGATGTAAAACGAGAGGTTCGTTCACCAACACTTTCATCTCGAGGTCCAAAAGATTACAGTGTTAAAGAAACGCCCATGAACAGACAAGATGATTCCCAGGAATGTTCTCTCCGCCTGACCCCATCCTCTTCAGAAAATTGTTGTTTGCACCATGTTCATTCACCAGTGTTACAGCACAATGGGCCACCCAATGCTCTGTTTCTGCATCCACACGTCAGTCCTTCACAGCCCATCCCACAGTGCAACCGAATACAGTATACGAATGCTCCTTTCTTTTCATCTAACGAAAACCTGTCATGCCACAGAGATGACAGTAGCTTCACAAAATATCGTGACTTTAACAGCTTACCACCTCCTCTGCCTCCGAAGAAGTACTCTCGTAATGGTGTTCCACGAATCGAGCAACATTTTTCACCTGCCGCCAGCACTGCACATTCAGAAACATTGTCATGTGTTCATTCAGCCAGCACTGAGAGACTTGCATCTGGTAATTTTGGGAGGCCAGACTTTGACTACTATCCAACAAAAGATACATTTCACAGCAGCGACCTAGACATGCACACACCACATCTATCTGGTTCCTCTGCGTACAACTATCGGCCAAAGATGGTTCAACAGCCTTTGGGATTAGATCAAGTATCCCATGTTAATGATACAGTTTCACTCACAACATACTTTTCTGTGGACAACTGTATGACTGACACATACAGGCTAAAATACCACCAGAAGCCAAAGGCATATATGACTGAAAGTACTGCATTCCACAGAGACCCTGGTCACTTACAGCTTACAGAATCTCCAATGGAACCTTCCTACCACAGAACCTTGGAAAATGCTCATCACTCGATAGCACGAACAAAAATGTCATATGGAAGTGTTCCTTGTAATAGATAGACCTTTAGGCCTCATGGTTGTGAAATTGTGAAACACTCCACGTGGAGTTCTTAACTCTAAATGGTCAGCTTGGATAATATCCAGGACAGAGCCAGCTTAGGTCTGGTGAGCAGCAAACTTGCTTTAACAGACATTTTAACGCTAAAAGTCAAGCAAGGTGGAGTCTTAACTGCTTATTTAAACAAGCTGTTTACTTGCTTACTCACCCTCCTAACGCAAAACATTGGTATTTTGCACATTGCCTGGGTCTAATGGTGTCTTGTACTTTTACGCTAAAAAAAAAGCTGTATACCTGTAACTGTTTCGTAAGACGTCTAAGCGCTCAGAGAGAGGTCACCAAATGTTTTCTTTTTTTTGTTATAAGTAACAAGGAGGCAACTTAATTTCTCCTGTTTGGAGATCCCCTTAAATGACAGACACTGAGCTCCTAAAAATGCACAATATCTAGTCTACTAGTTCTCTAATCGGGTAGTTCACACAACTTCGAATATAAAAAAAAAAGGTTAGTATTAATCCAGGTATAGAAAATTCTCTATTTTAAATGACTTTGTATATTTTTTACATGAGCTTCAAGATTATATTCAAAGCACAGAACTATTGTATGAAATACTAAATCTCTACAGTAGAGTATAGATTTTGCGTCTAGAATATATAGCGCAAAGCAGGATGACGGTGTGTACAAAGAAAGTGCACCTGTTGTTGCTTGCTACACAAGAAAGCCTATGGTATCATTGGTTTTGGGAGACTGTTAGGGTATATTACTCTCAATAATGGTTTGATCTGTTTTATGACCGCTTATATTTTATGCAACGTGCGCTCATTAGGAAAAAATCATGACAGGACCCACTTCAAGCTTAACTCCAGGCAAACTGCGAACTACACAGATGAAGTACAAATATAGGAGTTGTTTTACCTGACAAGGGTTTTTAGTTCTGTCCATCTAGTCCTGAGATAGAATTTGTGCTGTGTGAGCCATGTCATTCTGGCAAAAACTTACAAACTGTGACTGGACAGTGGAAGGAGTAGCAGAAGACTGATGTAAACTCTCTGCTCTCTCGCCTCCTATCAGGAGACTTGTAGTGTTTCTCTGAGTCTCCCAGCCTGAGCTTTGCTGTACAGTAGACTGCAGGAAGTTCATACAGAGCCAAATTCAGGTACATACATTGATTGCTAAAAAAAATAACTTTAATGTTGTATCTGTGAATACAAAGCTGCAGTAATTTGTGTCTTTTGTTTCTGCCTGGAGTTCAGATTTGACGTGCATGACTTGAAAAATGTAGTTTTATTACCTCCTTTTTATAAAATGTCTTAGGAAATGTTAATGCACTATTTTCTAAATCTAACTGCTGTGAAAACCTTTACTAATCCCCTCTTCCTCCTGGGAAAAAAATAGCACCATTATTTTTCTCATATTGGTATCATTTAAAGCTCCATAATTGAATCTTTGGGTTCACGTTGATTTGAGCAACATTTAGACTTTCCTTGGTGTACTGCAGATGGCCCCAGAGACAGTGTTTGGAAAAGAGCTTAGCATGTTGGTGAGGGTGAAATGCTTAACATGAATCGGTGCTTGCCTGGGTTTAACACATTCTTGCCAGCAACTGATTAGATCAAAGGCCAGCTCCAGATACTTTTTTTTAATTTTTTATATTAAATGGGGAAGACTAGCACAAAGTCAGGTTTTTATTACGGTTTGTATTTTCCTGTCTCAGTAAACCCCATTCCCTTAGTTTCTTTTCCGGTGTCACATGAATTAAAATTAAGGGGAAATCTCCAAAGGGAAGTCGCCAATGACGAGGGACACATGATAGAAATACTAGTCTTTTCTACCTGTTTAAAACAAGAACGTTTTACTAGTTTTTAGGAACTTTCAACATGCAAATGATTAATAAATGAAATGAGAACCAATAAAGTTAAACAGAGGTTGGCTTATGCAAGACCTAGTGGGGAAGTGGAAATATAAAGGGGGTACATTTATCAATCCTGTCCCATGGCAAAGCAAAAAATAGGTGCAGTGAAGATGGATCTAATACAAGGTTATAACCATGAATTATAAATTCCTTCCTCAGCTGCTTTTTTAAAGTAGCACAGCAACAGAAAAAAAACCTGACTCCGACCACTGCTAAATTATGCATCTGTTTACAGTGAAAATTCTGTTTCATCTTCAGTAATAAATCTGTCTCAGAACTTTACAAAGTTCTGTGACCAATTATGTCATTAATTTGCTTGATAAATGTCTCCCAACGTATCTTATTATAGTAATGTGCAGTGCAAATGCTAACATCAGAATGATGATGTTATGCTTTAAGCAGGTGTTATGTTATGCTTTAAGCGGGTCTTAAAAACTGACTATGTACCATTACCCCAATGTAAATTCAGAAAAATAACTCCTGTTTTGGTCTCAGCTTGTCATGGCTGTTGGTGAGTGGTGGGCATTGACTCACTATACCACTCATTCACTTTTACTCGTGCTCTGGATAAAAACAGACATTGCTGTCACTTTGCAGGTACCCTAAGGCACCTGATCATACATTTTATGGTTGGCGTACGCAGAGCACCACCAGGACCTCTTTAAAGATAGCAGAATAGCTGTGCTATTAGATTTGAAGCAATGTGGAGATGGGAGTTGAGAACTTAATGTTGCCTTCTATCCACAGTTAATATTGGTGTACCTTTTATTCCAAAGTACAGGTCCACTTTTAAAGTGAACCTGTACTTTGCCAATACTAAGCAAAGTAACAGGTTTGCTATATAGGTTGCACAGTAGACGGGCCTTACCTAGCATACACTAGTCTTGTGCCCTGATCCATCGCAAGAGCCATGAGAAATGCCCAGTACTTTGGGGTATGGGGTAAAATGTAACACCCCCGCCTCCTTATAATGCAGTTTTGGGTGCTTGAGTGGCCATATGTTAAGCCCCAGCGCTGTCACACGGGGCAGGGAGTAGCTTACAAGCCCTGGGCAGAATTTGACTTTCAGAATGCCATACCATTAGTTGAGGTTGAGTACAGCCTGCCTCCTGTATTTTGCTCATTCTAGATTGCGTTATGGACCAACAACAAATGATTTAGGTTTCTGTCATTGGAAAGTTTTTCATATGTGTATTAGCAGGCCTGCCTACATTTTTATACAGAGATGTAAAGTTCTGCCTCCAATAGATTTATTGTTAATTACCCTAACGATAGCTTGCACTGGGCTACATAGTGCACGTTGAAGCGTGATGGAATTCTCTGGATTCTCCTGGATAAGAAAATAGATTGATCCTATAATATTATGACGGTCTTGTTTTATATAAGCCAACTTGTGGTTTAGGTTTTAGTGGTCTTCTTTTTTTATTCAAAGAAAAATTTGACTCCACAGAAAAATGTTGTAAAAAAGGATTAACATTGCAGATATTTGTGGGAGCCATGTTTTATATGTTTTATTTGCAGCAACCTTGTTGGAAACATGTAGAATTCAAATGACCAAGGTTTAAGATAACTCAGGTATAGGACAGCATCTGGAGAAAAGCCTATGATTTCATAATTGACCAGCATTCATGTAGTAGGCAACTATTTCTTATATAGATTTGAAGCCCATTTCCACCTTTGCAGAGGTATTTAAGAAATGGAAAAAAAAACATGCCAGCAATGTACACAGAGTGTACATGAAGCAGGTAGATGTAGTTGCTGTATAAGAACTTCTTTTTTTTTTGTCCTCTTCTCATGGCCGCCTCTGTGGCTCACAAGCAGTCTGTGTAAATGAACATACTCTGCTCTGAGCTCTCTCCTCCTATTCATTAGTATTGGACAGTGTATTGTGACCTGGAAAAGCAGAGCTGGCGTGCAGTTATCTTGTTACAGTGACTCACAGGGACAGGGGCAGCTGTTATAAATCTGACCCCAGTGTCGGGCTGTGTTTCCTGTGAAGAAAATGTTCAATTTTTAGGGTTCAGGCCTACCAAAAAGTCCATACAAAAATTAAGAAAGCCCGCAATGCGAGTCATGAAAAGTATACCCATATACCACAATAAATGCTAATCTCTTACAAAGGTGGAAATAGGCTTTGAAAACCTAGGCAATAGGATACTTGCAGTGTTGTTTCCCTCAGTATAGTATGGTAAAGGGCTGTGCACTTTTAAAGCATATCTAAACCCAACGATAAAAACATAATATGATGCAGCTTACCAATCCATAGATGTGGGGGCTACATTCGGTTTCTTTAAGTACAGAGGGAAATGTCCGGATCCTGACAGAAATCCAGTGCCCTGATGTCCTTCCTGTGCACTGAAATAGATTTTTAAACAAGTTCTTATCTTTCCCAGCTATCCTTTTGTGACCCATAAAACACCTACCTTCTATGTAATATAGGGGAGATGTTCTGTACCCAAACACACTTTCTGTCCTAGAGTGACAATGCTAATTCCCTCATAGATACAATCACGGATGGGAGGCGTGTTAAATTTTCAGGGTTTATTATTTTATTTCTACCTGGTAATTCTGCTAATAAAACAGTCGCCTCATCTAAGGACTGGTAAGCTGCAGTGTATATTACAGATTTGCCATTATGGCAGCCCCATTCAGCATCATGTAATTTAGGAAGATGTGACATGTAGTGTCAATATCTATAAATTGATTGGCCTTCTGTAAGAGTGGCTTTTAAGTTGGTAGCAGGTTTATACTGGTGAGGTATCTATAAACCTAAAAAAAAATTACACATATCTTCCCCAAAAATGTTTATTAGCCCATGATCAGCTCTGCAGGACAGATGGGCAAATTCTGTCATGAGTACGCAAAACAAGGGCTTCCCAAGCTAATGCTTGAGGGCGCCACAACTATGCAATCTGAAAAACAGCCAGAGGATGGATTTACAATGTATGCAAAACATATTCGAGTGGTTGCTGTGGTATTCTGCAATGTTTCCCAGGGTAAGCTAAAGTATTCTCTACCGAGACTGCCCCTATACAGTCTTTTATAGTCAACGGATGGGGCCCTGTCCTGTATTCAGGGCCCTATAATGAGGCAGGCAGCCTCAGGTGGCATCTCATTGGGTCACATGGGGAAGGGGTGCCCGCCGCCCCCTTTCCATCCAGAGCGTCCCAGGTTGCCCAAGAGCTCTTGGCAACCTCCCTGTAATGTGCACCGCCAGCGGCCCTTATCCCCCCATAAAATTGTAGAGACGCCCCTCCCTGTATTAATTTCCTGGCTTCATTTAACCTTTGGTGATTTATGATTCCTTATTTCTAATGATTGGACCTCACTACCAGGGGCAGCTACTTCTGAAACTGCCATTCACAAAGAAGCCGCGATCCCTCATTGACATAACTTAGAGGTCTCTGGAGAGAGTTTAGCATTCATTTACCCTGGAAAACGTCTTTATTCATAATGTTTCCTTTCTTTTAAAACAAAAATCTTTCTACTCCTTTTGATTCTTGTAGGTTTATCTTTAGAACACAAACCGTTTCTACTATTACCTACTTCCATTGTTGCCTTCACATTTGCAGACGAGGCACTAAAAGGTCAAACTTTCGTATGGTACACTCCAGTGCATACAAAATGATTTTACTCCTAAGCTTTAGTTTAACCGGAACGGTTTTCATCATAGCCGCCAGTATTTGTAGAATGTGACCTCCTCTAATCTTTGTATGGCTTTTGCTTCTGTGCCTAT